ATTTTATCTATCTATCTACCTATTGCCCTGTCTGTCGTCTTTTTTCCTTCCTGTCTGCTAGTTGTTCCCCTCTATAATACATTTACCTGTTTTTCTTCTATTTCCCAGACAGACAGCCCGACAGAAACAGCAGAAGACAGACAACAGACAGACAACAGACAGACAACAGACAGACAGACAGACAGCCCAGACAGACGACAGACAGACAAAAACAGACAGACAGACAGACAACAGCAGCCCAACAGACGGGGAGTGAGAAAATCATGAGCAAAAAAAAAATTTTTGCCCGTTAATTTCCTTTTATTCTCTTGTGCCGTTGGATGATTCAATTTTTTACAACACTAGAATATTGTGCAAAAGGGGGGGCAATGCATCGGTTTTAGTTTAAAACGTAATATGTTTGATCAGGGCCTTTATGATTTTTTTTCCGGGTAAAAAATTGTATAGAATTTTCCCATTATTTCAGCGAATTTTAAATGTGTTATTTTTTTTTTCCCTCATCTATGTGCCAAAAGTCGACCACGGACGTTCCTGATCTGCCCAGATATCGTCACCTGTCGAACGGATCTTATATGCGAAGAAAAGGTCTGATACTATGGAGATGACGCGAGGGTAACATTGAGTGAATATTGGTTGTTCTGTCAGGCCTCAGTCTCTGAAGGAGACAAGCGTCTGAAAGTGTTAAAGGTTGACAAGCGATATCACCAACGCTATGCGGACTAAATTGGATGATGATGGTGACTCTTTGACGCTAACACGATTACATAATCCCGTAGCCAAGTCTGATCAAACATGTCGGTGCCGCCCTTGAGGTCAATATAGAAGACAGTGTAAACAACTTGTCATGGAAACAGTCAGTACACGTACCCTTGGTTGGCTGCTGCATAGGCGACTGGCACGCATCGGAATACCCCGTGTGCACTGATATCGACCCTGATGATGTAACTTACATCAGTCTTGCGCCTCAAGTGTGCTGGTTCAGATACAATACAAGGCGACAGTCTTCATGCCAGCGTTGAGCTACTGTTAAAAGTCAGTCCATTACGAGACGCGTTGCTGAAGTAACCACAGCTGTTGTGGTTTTTCTAGGCAAACTTACGTTCAGTAATTTGCCACTGCTTACGGCACGGTCGGATCTCGATACCACAGTCGAAACTAACGAAGGCTTTCTGAGTTAACTGTACACGTTTTAAAATCATAGTATTTGTTTACAAGAAAAACAGTTTCTTCTTTCACTGTAAATGCGGGAATTTAACACTTGTGGTTATATATTCGTTACCACTGGGTGGACCCCGACACATTGCTAATGTAAAATACTTACACACCGTTTGTAAAGAATATTCCAAAATATGCCATGTAAGCTGAACATTTGCTATTTTAACCGATACAAATTACTTGTTCTTGAGGTTAAGAATTCCGGATTATGTACCTTTCTCAATAAACTGCTTCCCGAGAGCTTCACTTGGTGGAATACTAAGGAGCTTCTCACACACTGAAGATAAATGTACCTCAGCAATATGAGATCTCACAGAAAAGTTGACAGAGTGGCTAGAAAATACAAAACTAGGGTTGAAGATAAAACGAAATCGGCTGTAAAAAAACCGTTACTAAATTACACTCAAAGAAAGCAAATAGAGCGGTTTTTCACATTAATAAAATGCCATACAAGGCATATGTCCAAAGAGGAGAGGGAAGTTGCCTGAGGTAAAGTAGAAAAATATAAGATACATTTAAGTAAGATACATTTAAGAAATTATATTATCTAGTATTTATTATCGAGACAGACAGAACAGTAAGTAAGTAAATTTTACCCCACTAGGAAATAATATAGAGCGATAAACACCCGGTGACACGAAGTGCCACCATACGGATGAGGATTACCCGTGGAGTGGTCTCAGAAACCGCGTTCAACCTTCAGGCTATATTGCGGAGCCCGGCAAAAGCCGGGTTTATACTTCAAAATAACGAAAAATTGCGTTTCATATGGGAACTAACTGAAGTGATAAACAGAAGAGTCAGATCCCGAATATTTATCTCCCTTGACTTCTGAAGTGGTAACAGGTGTGAACAAGATGATAGTAGCATTCATTAACTGACGCGTTATAAAACAGAGCTCTGAAAATGTATCAGTTACTCGATGTTCTGCTGCTGAATGGTCTGCTTAATGCAGTCGAATCTCTGATATCAAGACGTTTTGCAGCAGGAAAGAATCAAAGAACCTATACAGGGGCATGTAAGAAAATACGGAGTTATCTCCCCCTGCTACGCAGTTAAACCTCACATATTCACATCAACCAACAGGCTCTTGCGGGCTCAAATATCTAACGGGCCCAAGACAAACCTACCATATGACCAAGAGATTACAGTCTTGTTCTGTTAAGGTGGGCAACAATCATCCCATAAACAACTATTCTTCCACCGTTTTCGCTGGAATACCAAATGGTCCTTCTGGACATGGTCCAGAATGTCTCCGATTCGATAGTTAAACTTTAACGATAGTTAAACAAGCTTTCAGTGTTAAATTCAGATCGTAGAAGTCAACTATCGAGTGGTGTCTTCGCATCGGAAGAGTGTATAATAAATGTCGACCGGCTATCGAATGCAGTCTGTGTGAGAAGTATACAATAAATGGAGGTTTCATTTGTAAACTTTTGTGAACATTCTTCACTCGTGGAGTACACGAAGAATTCACAACTGTTTCGTGAAATAATAGTGCTGTGAAAGAACGGACCCGCATCATAATCATCAGAAAATTTATTCTTGAACACGATGTTAAGATACTTTGGTTAAGACCATGAGTTAAAATCCGTTGATGA